GTGGCGATTTCAATCAAACTGGAAGCTACCGGCCGATGTCTGCTATTTATTTCGAGCAGAGGGCTGAAAAGACACAGTGATAGGGCCCTCAACCATCCTGACAAAAAAGAGAACTTAAACCTACATAGAGCAGCTGCATGAATAAAGTACGAAAATTCATTTTTATTTAAATGACCAACCACGAATATTACAACACGTTAATCTTTTTTGCCATTTTTTTCAGCAATCTTTCCACCATTTTCTTCAAAAACCTCTGGCGAAGGCTTCAAGTAAGTGCTTTTTTGAACGTAGGCCTTTATGTAGAAGTTCACAAATAAACACAACATAAGAAGTGTCTGCAGTCCGCCCGTGATTATGATGTACTTCGGAAATCCACAGTCTACGAAAAGCGGTATGGAAATGTGTATAAGAGCAATCACAAACTGCGCAATCTGCATAGTTGTCAGGTACTTCTTCCACCACAGGTGCTTGCGTACTCTGGGACCCAGCGTGGCTAGGAAGTAGTAGAAATACATCACCACGTGCACGAACGCGTTCATGGCTAAGCCGAGGGCTGGTTGGCCTTCGGGTGCGAACAGGGCGTAATACCAGACGTTCACCGTCACCATGGTGTGGTGAATGACGTGCAAGTGCGTAATCTGGTTGAACTTCTTTCGAAGCACGCAGAATACCGTGTCCAGGAGGTCGGCGTAGCGCACGGCGATGAAGAACCAGCCGTACCTGTAGTACCGTACGAGCTCCTCGTCAGTCTCGCCCGTCATCCCCTGGCACCAGAGGTTGTACCGGCCCCCGGGAAGGTAGGTCATCTTCAGGTGCAAGTACAGGAATACGGCAGCGACGACCACCATGACGAGGTTGTAGAAGCGCACAACGTTTATTATGTCGAAGGGCTTGCGATCTTTCATCCAACGGGGTCCGGCCACCTTGACAAAGTACAGGTAACAAAACACGAGGGGGAAAACGAAAAGCGGATTCAACACCAGTGGGTAGTCTCTCGTCCTGGGGTCACCCATTTCGACAATGCTGTTTGCGAGAGTGATGGGGTTCAGTGAGAGCACCATAATCTTCTTCGAGGGATATCCTTGAGGGCGAGAAAACCTGGACCTGTAAAAAATTACTGCGTCAGGTATGTCGAGTACTGCGTTTCGTAAATGTAGGTTTTGCAGCCAATACGCAGATTGACAAGTCTTCTATTCTATAGTTCGATGCGTAAACTCTCGGTTGGTATAGCGGGACCTTTATAGGGGCACTACATGTCTGTAATTGTTAGAGCATGTCGTCTGCTCTGTAACATTGCTCAGAATAAACACTGTTAATAAAACATATAAAGTGGAAACTCAAATAATCAGAAGCTTTAAATCAGGCAATTGTTGTATTCAGCAAACTTATTGTTCAGCGCAGTTACACGTAAAGAGCGTTCTTGTTACGTTGCGAAATGGCGGTGCAGCTTCGATGGTGTTTGGAACACCACTTATCAGAATATCGTCTATGACGGACTATATATTCATTGAATACGAGAACTCGAAATCCTGCACGTGACAGGAAAGCATTCAAGCATGCAAGAAGGGTTATTTTTAAGATTGCTCCTCAGATGAACAAAGCTAACTTATCCGAGAAATCTTAGTGCAGTGGAATTTCACAACACAAATATACGTCTTTTTCATCACATTTGAGAACTGTATTATCATTGAGTCTGATATCGAATGGCCTACCACTTCTGTTTCTTACATCTATGAAACGTGCGGCCACACTATGTATAGCGTGTGCTTGGTTTTTTTTTATCGCTGAGCTCTCTTTGATAATGTCAGTGACTATAGCTAACACGACTTTCAGTTTCAGTAAATTTAGTCTAAATGTCTGGAAATAAGCTAATGGCTGTTTTCCATGCTTCGTATATGCGCTGATATCTGCAACACCTCAGTAAAAACATGCTAAGATTTCAGTAAATGCTTTCCGAGTATGCATGGAGGGTTTCTGATAATATTGATGTGCCGTAATACGTAAAGTCTACAATATATAATGAGCGTAAAGATAAAGATCAGTTATAGTACATAAAACATATACTGACAACAATCTTGTACTATCTTGCTGATGAATCTATTGCAATGCTTCAGTTGTTCCTTACGGTCAGCTCATATCACTTAATGTTGCTCACCTAATGTACACTCACCTGTACGCTCACCTAATATCACTTAATGTTGCTCACCTATTTTACATTAACCGCAACTCGTCCGTTCGTTTTAACCTGCAAAGCAATGTGAACTTGCTGAAGTGGGTTAGCCGAAAGCGAATACTCTTTTGTTCACAATCAGTCAAAGTTAGCTGCTGTGTATTTTTCAGTCATCTTGAGAAAATTATGCTAACACGAGCAACAGGACAATTTAAATAAGTCACACGGTGCTCGCTTTGTTACTACAAATGAAGCCACTAGCCTTATTTATAAAAGGAATAGTTAGCAAGGTCTTCAAGCGAGCCCTTGCCCACACGGTTAGTACTGTACATCACTGGTACTTGGAATGGCGGTCTTAGTGAACATCCGTGAAGTAACAAAACTACTCTTGTACAATCGAAAACTCACCTGCTTCAATGCCGCTCCGGTTGACGAAAACGAACTCTCACTGCGGTCACGCTTTGGGCGACCTTCCTGTACGTGGCTAGAGCTAATGCGGGATGTGAGTGACACTGTCGGGTTGTGTCAGCAGCAGCAGCAGCAGCAGCGATGGCAGCAGTGGCAGCACCCGCTGCCGTAGCAGCAGCGCCCTCTTGTGGCAACTTCTCTCGCACTATCTCCTTTGTGGGTGGACTCGCGTCTAAATTAGGACTCGGCCCACATGGGAACGCTGTCGTGACGCAATACATTCATTCGTGTCATCTCCATCACGGCAGCGAATGAAAGAGTTGATTATCTCTGAACCCGTCAAACGAGCGGTGAATGACAGAATCTGCGTGATGGAAAGCATTAAGAAGTGAAACGAGAGATCTTGCTTTCCGACCTCGAGGATAACGAGCTGTGAGAAACAAAAATACAGGGCTTCTGCCTTCTTCCACTGACTCGGGTAGACGCCCGAGTGAGCGAGTTCTGAAGGCGTAGCAAAAATATTGCTTAAGAAGCAAATTCCGGAGGATGCACGAGAGAGGTGAATGGTCGCGAGAGGTGAGACCAGGAAGTGCTGCAGGAATAGAGAAGGCGAAACTGCAGGGCTCTTTGACATCCCAAAACACAAGAAAGAATGTGAGGTACGATTAGGATCACATTAGCCGTGCCATAGCACGGACCTGTTCTGCCACAAATTTCTTATTTTTGAGGCGGCTCTAAACACGAGTTGCCCTCGATTGTGTAATCACTCAGAGAACTGTATTGCGGGCGAACGTTAGACCGGAAGTGTCGGCGAGTTTCAAATGAAAGAAGCTTCGAAATAATTTGCAGCCGCCAAGATTGAGTTTTATTTTGAAGGTGGCAACATTTAGTTCATGCGCGATGATTCACGGTACGTCTCTTTAGAGCTCTGGCTTCACACAGGAAGAGAATACCGAGCTGCTATTATTGGTTGTTTATTCACTGCTTTCAGCGTCCGCGTTTATTTTCGCACTTACGTTGATATCGCATGGTACTGTTATTCCAGGTCAAGCTTATCTTCCTTCTACGGTGAAGTAAAGACCAGCCACACAAAATCTGCCTCGTATAGAGATACAGCAGCTTGACGGTGTCATCATCCCTCTATACAGTTATCATGAAACACTTGACTAAGTGAAAGACATTATTAAACTTCTCAGCGCGAAAGCTTCCGACAACTAACATAAGAGACGAGGACCGTGCTCGTTCTCTTCTCTTGTGTTAGTTGTCGGAAGTTTTCGCACTGAGAAGTTTAGTAATAGATTACCAACTAGCCCAATCCCACACTTTACTTCTGAAAGAGATTGCCTGTTTGCCAGTCAGATGAGGTTAATATCAAGGCGGCAATGCAGGCTAGTTGGTTTCGTTCACTTGCATTCATATTTCTAGCGCCGACGCCACAATGACACATCTTCCCTCATTCAAGCTGAAGATGTGTCGGTGTGACGTCGGTTGCCTTATCCAGAAAAGAGATTGAGTATTCAGGAGCAAATGTTTCGCATGCAACGTGGTAACGAGGGAAGTAACAAACATAAGAAAGCACCTCAGAGTGCGATTGTGCACATGCGCTAATGTCTGACGGTTTCGGCCTTTTTTATAAAAAATCAGTTGATGTATAGCACTCGTCCTGTTTATGTATTACTTCTGTGTGTCTTTGTTCTTTTCTGTTTTGCGCTACATATATGAACGCAAGGTTAATATCGCGAAGAAGTATGGTCACTGGCGTACGCCCAGAGTAGTCGAAGCAATCAGTGCATGGAGTCCTATGCATAGAAACTGCTTTGTGTCAACAAGACGTATCGTATCACCAAAAAAATATCACGAAAGAAACCTGTTGTCAGAGTGGCCAAATTGCGACAGACGGCGATGTTTTGTCAAGCATGTCAATGTGCCAAGCGCATGTCAACTTACATTCTTCAAAGCATGGGTGGCCTGCGGGAAAATCTTAAACAAACACCTTTTTCGGGGGCAAGTGCGATAAAAATATGGCGGCTCACAACTCCAGCGAAAAAAATAAACAAAAGTGAATCATATGCAGGGCCACATCTATCAATGAGCTATAAACAAGCATTTGTTTAAAAAATGAGCTTTCGAATGAGCCAAGAGCAAGATGGGCGGCTTTCCGCCTGTACACCAGCCACCCCTACTTTGGGAAATTGAATGTGCTTGGCAATCTCGCTATATGCGTGCTCATAGGGAACTGGTAGGAGTATTTGTGAATAACATGGCCGCACCTCACAACTTGGCTGCTGAGGCAACCAGTCACTCGTGCTAATTTAAACATGTCAAGAATAATGTCAATGATGCTTGTTTTGCACTGATGCTCACTAACAGTTTCTTTGTGGCATTGCAAGAAGTTGATGTGACAGGGAAGAAAAAAAAATAGCTTGAATGTTATTATAGTGTTTATTAGATGTCCTTATTTACAAGGTGATTGTCACATAAGAAGGGAGATTAGTCTGTTTTGTTGTTTTGAGTAGTTGTATACCCACTGTCATTGACTTTCAATTCCGCTGGCACAGGTTTCGAAGAACTACCCTTCTTCACGTACGCCTTTATGTAGAAGTTCACAAACATGCACAGCAACAGGAAGGTTTGAAGATTGCCAATGATGATGATGGGCCTAGGAAATCCACAGTCCACGAACAAAGGTATGGAGATGTGTACAATGGCTATGACGAACTGTACGATTTGCATCGTGGTCAGGTACTTCTTCCACCACAGGTGTTTCCGGACCTGCGGGCCCAGCGTCGCGAGGAAGTAGTAGAAGTACATGATTGTGTGGATGAACACGTTTATGGCCAAGCCCAGCGCCGGCTGTCCTTCGGGAGCGAACAGCGTGTAGTACCACACGTTGACTGTCACCATGGTGTGGTGGATGACGTGCAGATAGGTGATCTGGTTGAACTTCTTGCGTAACACGCAGAATACGGTGTCCAGGAGATCGGCGTATCGCACGGCGACGAAGAACCAGCCGTACTTGTAGTAGCGGGCGAGCTCGTCATCCATGTATCCGGTGATGCCCTGACACCACAGGCTGTAGCGGCCGCCGGGTAGGTACGTGAGCTTGAGGTGCAGGTAAAGAAATACGGCGCTCACTGCGACCATGAAGAGATTGTACGCGCGCACCACGTTGATGATGTCGAAGGGCTGCTTGTCCTTCATCCAGCGTGGACCGATGACCTTTACGAAGTACAAGTAGAAGATCACCAGCGGGAATACGAAGAGTGGGTTCACCACCAGGGGGTAATCTCTGGTCCTGGGATCGCCCATCTGCACGAGTTTGTGGGCAAGTGCGAAAGGGTTCAGGGTGAACTGCATATCGTCGCTGACGTCAGCTGTTTCCAATGATGATGAAGTCAAAAACTGGAAAAGATATAGAAAGCAAGATATCTTGAGCACTCCAGTGGGTGTCATTCCCGTTTTGTGTTTTCGTATTTATTCGAACATAACGGGAGTTTTTCTTTCCAGATTTTTGCGGCCCCAAGTCGGCTCTCAGTTTATAGTGAGGTATAGCAAAATAGCTTTTTTTTTCGTCCGTAAGCTTTGAAAACTCACTCCTCACGTTGCAGTCGAGTAAATACGGCATTGTGCCCAATGCAGCGAATAAAACACGACAATGAAGAGGAAGACTAAAAAGAGAGAATAGGCGGGCAAAATAGGGAGGCTAGAAGTAAAACTGCGGCGTTTTAAGCTATACTGGGGAACAGCAGGAGAAGGACAGCTTCAAAGTTAAACACCATGGGAGCAAGAGAAAACAGAGGATGTTGAAATAGAGTTTAATAGAGACGGAGATGAAATGAAGAAAAGACAAGAAGGTTGACTGGAATTTAAGTGTCTGGTTTGCTACCCCACACGGAGGAAAAATGGGAAAACGTTACTACTGTTATTTGCTGTTGATTATCATGGCAGATGACAATAACAGTTGTCGATCACAAGAACCGATGCCATTTCGTGCTAACACGACACGTGTGGATATGTTGTCCCAAAAAGAAAAAAAAAACTCCAAAATTTTCTTATTTTGCAAAGAGTATACAAAGCAGATGACTTAAGTATTTAATAGAGTGGAGAAAAGGCAGTTGCATACATATGGATTTTTACACCTTTTTCTATATGAAACAAAAATGAAGGCTTTAAAATGTGCGGTGTGTGGATTTTAGGAAAACGCGGTTGAAAGCGACATCATGCCTCATTACGGGAAAGGTCCTCTAAGTGAGAAAGTGTGCTGTAGACGGCCCACAAATAACGATAACCACCTGCCTGTAGCACAACCTTCTTTGTGGAAATAAGAAGCCATTTCTCAATTTCGTTGTTATGACACTTTTACGAAACGTCTAAGAACGTGTACTTGGCTTGCTTGGACGGCTCCAGCTCAAGGAAGAAATCAAGCTCGGAATGTGTATAATGCTCTTCTTAGGAAAACAACGGCAGTGCTGCGATGATCATTCACCACCCGAGAAAAACATGAATAAGCACGAAATATTGGCATGGCATGACACTTGATATTGGCCGGATATCTGAAAGTGGTGTTCAAAATGTACCAATAAAAGGTAACCAGATGTATTTACTTAGAAATGTTTTCAGAGTGCAGATATTTAACGGGGAATGGAATAGAGCTCTTTAAACGCGAAAAGTTTCAGTTATCGTTTTTTTTTTTCATCAAGTGAAAGGCCAGGTCTGCAAGAGCGCAGAAAATGTACTGCCAAGTGTGACTACACCCTGAAAGAGTAATTACAGTGCAATTTTGAAAGCTAGTTTCAGTTTCTAGTTTATCCTGACGTCAGAACACGGTATCAGGTTCTCGTCGCGTGCCTGTGCAAGGTATCGTGACATTCCTACGGCCACCCTTCAACGTAGCTGTGTTGGTGAGGCACCAGCAGCCATTTGGAAAGTTTTGGTGCCTGACGTCATGACAACTTGCCAGGACTGCTGCGTGAAATCACCAGAACTCGTACTGTAGCCTGACGTCGAACTAGTGCTGTTGTCAGTATTGAGTCATTTTAATATCGAAATAATATATTTTCCCCGGCACTTGTCGAGCATCACCTTTGCCTAGAGCCGTGTTTGTACACCGAAGATGTATATGGCGGTGTAAACACACCTGGAAATGCAGAGAGGCTACCGAAGGCTGAGTGTTATTGATTTCATATATAGGCTAACGATCATAATTTTGGTATCAAACTATAATTACCGACGTACAAGTAGAGGCTCCGTTTTTACGGATTTCTGGCAAGCATCTGCCTACTTGGTGCGACTGCGTAAAAGTTAGCACTCTGATTCGCTCTGAGGCGTCATATAACTCCTAAAAAAATAGTACTGAAGACCAACAGAAAATGAAGCCAAGGAATGTATAAGGAACCTTAACTGCACTGTTTCAAGTGGACTGTTGTAAGTGTGATTTAGTTGGAAAGAAAGTAAAATGGGCGTAAACTTGCCGCTGGCAGGGACCTTCAGAGTTGTGTTAAACAAAAAAAATTGAGCCCACGAAAATTTCATTTCTTTTTGAAACTCTAGACCCTCATAAACCGCTGTCATATATCTGGAGAACAGTTCGTGGTCTTCGCTCCTCTCCACAACAACGGCACGCTTTTAAAGCTTTGGCACTCCATCATGGAAAAACAGAACTCGAGGTGGCTGAAGAATTTTGCACGAGAGTTGCCGGGAATATTATGATCGAGAGCATCGACGCCGTGATCGTTCCTGAGACGCGATTACCAGAAATGGACATTCCATTCACCATGGAAGAACTGGAAGGTGCGTTAGTCGCTTCCAAGCGCATGTCATCGCCAGGTCCTGATGGTATTACTTATAGTGCGTTGGGACACCTTGGACAAAAAGCTAGAAAAGAACTTTTAACATCCTTCAACAACTCCTGGCTCAGCGGCAGTGTTCCCCGAGAATGGAAAATTAGTCGATTAATACCACTTTTGAAATCGGGAAAATCACCATTGGACTTGACAGCGTATCGCCCTATTGCCCTCGCAAGCTGCCTCGGAAAAGTGATGGAAAGAATGGTTCTATTTCGTCTCGAGTGGTACTTGGAACGATACACCAAATACCCTTCTTGCATGGCAGGCTTTCGTCGGGGCCGCTCCTCCATTGACTGTGTCCTTGATTTATCGACATTTGTTCAACAAGAAAAAAGTCGCAAGCGCATATCAGTGGTACTCTTTCTTGACGTGAAGGGTGCATATGATAATGTAGCTCACGATGCCATCCTCACTTCTCTCGCAGCAATGGGCATTGGTGGACGAATGTTTCAATGGATAAAAGATTATATAACTGGCAGGGGTTTCTTTGTACAAACATATGAGGGTACAACTGCCCAACATTACACCTACTGCGGTGTACCTCAGGGAGGTGTTTTAAGCCCAACATTGTTCAATGTGGCCCTCATTGGTCTGGTGAAGGTTCTGCCAAAGTCGGTGTGCCTATCCATATACGCCGATGATATTTGCCTCTGGAGTGCTGCAGTTACTCGCCCTCAGGTGCGTGCACGAATACAGCGGGCAGCAACCCTCACAACAGCCTACCTTCAGAAACAAGGCCTAAATATATCAACTGCGAAGTGCGCGTTGATGGCGTTTACACGCAAACCAATGACGCCATACCCTGTTTACATCAATGGGCAGAGTGTCAAATATGCACGGACGCATCGTTTCCTGGGCATAATAATCGACAGAAGTCTTTCGTGGAGCCCACATTGTGCGTACTTGAAGAAGAGACTGCTATCTATTGTGCATATCATGAAATTCTTGTGCGGTAAAGCATGGGGAACTTCTGTGGCCTCCATGCTACAGCTGTACAGGGCCCTATTTCTGGGTGTATTGCGCTACAGCTTGCCGGTACTGACTAACACTTGCAAATCGAATACCCATTCATTGGAGAGTTTGCAGGGTCAAGCACTACGTATCTGCCTAGGACTGCCCCGATGCGCTTCTACTTATGCCACAATCATGCTTGCCAAAGACCATCCGGTCAGGACATATATAGTTGTGGATTGCCTCAGAACGCACATTCGACATGCTAGCCGTGTCCCCGACCACCACTTGGCCCTTCTACTTTCCGGAAGACCACGTGCTACGTTTTCAGACGTCATAGCCAAGCACCTAAACAGCATTCCATCAGGATATACGCCAGCTGCGAGAGCGGCATGCCCTTTGTGGTGCCTCGAACAGCCGCAAGTACGTCTAGAAATTCCGGGAATCAAAAATAAAAGCAGTCACTCCAGAGTAGCATTGAAACAAGCAACACTGCTATTATTACATGAGTTGTACTTAGACCGAACGCAGATATACACTGATGGGTCCGTCTCATCCAGCAGCTCATCAGGTGCCGCTGTAATTCCGGCTGCAGAAATGACAATCAAGTTTAAGTTGTCCCATATGACTACATCTACGGCATCAGAGCTTGCTGCTATAAGGGCTGCTTTACAATATCTCGTTCAAGAACGTCCAGGAAAATGGGTCATATTCTGTGATTCGAAGGCAGCGCTTCAGAGTTTGCAGTCTGCCATGCGTAGGAGGAGCCATGACCAACTGGTACAAGAAATAAGACATTGCCATCATGAAGCTCTAGCACGAGGGCATGATAATATATATCAATGGCTGCCTGGACATATCGGTATTACCGGAAATCAATTAGCCGATGATGCAGCCCACTCAGCCCATGAAGAAACCCGTGTAGTCCCTATTCCTCTATCAAGGAATGATGCAGCAAGACAACTTTACCTGCTGGCTCGAGATCTCACACGCACGTTCTGGTCGTCTACCAGCTTCCAAAGGTGTCAATTTTATGAACTGGATCCTTCCCTCAAGCTAAAGCTACCATCACAACTTTCCCGCTCCGATGCGACACTGTTATGCCGCCTTTGGTTGGGTGTTGCATTCACAAAGGTGTACTCCTTTCGCATTGGTATGGCAGACACTTCTACATGCGACTACTGCGGAGATGAAGAGACCATCGAACACGTCCTGTGCAGCTGCGCTTGCTACGACACACAGCGATGCCAGCTACGGATGGTTTTGAATCGACTTGACCCCGGACCATTTTGTGTGCAGAAGATACTAGGACCTTGGGCATCCGCCTCAGTTGCGCAGAAAGCAACTAAAGCACTGCTACTATACCTTAAGTCAACAAACCTGAGCGACCGCCTGTAAACTGTGTGTGCTCCCCGAGTGTGCTCGTGATTGTGTGTACCTTCTCATCTTTCTGCAACCTCTTTTCTCCCCTTTATCCCTTCCCCAGTGCAGGGTAGCAAACCGGATGTGCGTCTGGTTAACCTCCCTGCCTTTCCTTGTATCTTTATCTCTCTCTCTCTGTCTCTTTGAAACTGTCTGTTGTGAAGCTCAGCTTAACTTAAGAGTTAGAGAGACTACATGCTGTGTAAAAGTCAAGAGTGTTCAACATTCGTAGTTGAGCAATCAGTTTAGCTTAGCGGTTATGCTGCAGCTCTGCGGCGATCAAACTTCATAGTCGTGGGTTCGATTCCATCCGGAACAGCCAGATATCGATATGCGCAAGCGCAATAAAAGATCCTGTTAGCTTAAACTCAAGTTCATGTTACAAAAAATAGCGGCTTGTTAAAATTTATCATAAGCATGCTTTTACGCCATGTCTCATAATCAGATCAATATTTGGCCCATTTTAAGCACTGATTTCTTCTAGACATTTGCTTCGAAGAAGCCTTGCAATAAAAACTAACAATTATCTCAATGAAACAAAGTCCCAACTGCATGCCGACAGAATTTTTAGAATCGATGTCTCTGCTTCGACATGACATGTTGATTGAGGCTTTATTATAACACCTTGCAATAGTAATCACTTCGGAAGGGGGTTGACAAGTCGAAACACATCTTTGAGGTCGGCTTACTCATGTTACAATTGGAATACATCTATAGTGCTCTGAAGGGAAGTATACCATTGATAATCGCTGACTGACAAGCGCAACCATGCACTTTGTACGGAGCAGCCGTGTGTTCCTGAAAGACTGGCTGACACTCTTGAAGCTGGTATAACGGCATACGTATGCTTCTTCAAGATGCAAAACTGAACGCGAAATGGCCATCAAATGGAATACGTGATTCACTTACCCAGCTGCAGGTGGTCCCGCCGTCCTTCGTTCTTCTGCTTTCGAGCCTCTGAAAGCTTGACCGTCGAGAAAATGTGGTCGAATGAATGACCAGCCTCCTTGGACTAGAACGTTGAAAGAAAAAAAAGAAAATGCCACACACACGCTTCACATTTGGGCGGGGACGTTCTCTTGTACTGGAGGGCAAGACCATGCACCTTGAGCGCGAGAACAATAAAATCGACGCGCGCTCAGCACTCGGCAACGTCACAACTACAAACAAGGTCGCTGTTTTTGTTGTTTTTTTTTTCTGCCGTGATTGCTCGCTTCATGCTTTCAGCGAGCAGGAAACTCCTGCTTTCCTAAACACGCAATGCGCGCGCAGCAATGCTCTGTGATCTTATCCTGAGCTTGTGAGCGTGAGCCCAAGGGAGGACACCAATTCTTCGCGTCTCCGTCTCTGCTTCTTTTTTTTATATGTCTTTGCTGTCTTCGTTGATTACCGTGCGTAATTATGCCGAGACGGTCGCCTACGAAGAGGGACTGAAAAGAGCGAGGCAAGAGTGTGTTACGCATTTTTAAGTGGCCCAGTTTGTACGCTAAGAATTCATAAGAAAGCTCATAGTGTGTTTCGCTTTAACTCCTTTCTTATGAAATAACATTGTGTGCAGATGTTTCTGCTCACTGCCATTGACTTTCGTGCCATTTTTTACCCACGTCTTACCAAAATTTACGAGAGCAGAAGAATAGAAATGGAAAGTTAAAGCATTCAACGACCCCTGGAGGATAAGGTAAACGGTAAAATACACAAGAGGAAAAAGAAAACGAGATATATCTGTCGCTTTGTTGTCCAGGTTTTTTTGTGCGCACTAAAAAAGTCTACATGGAAATATCTATGTATGGAAGCCTATAGAACTCACTGGGAAACAGTCGCGAAGGCTGCATATGGACTGTTGTATCTAACGGAGCTTAATTATGGCTATTTCTAGCTCTTATTCTTAGAAATATAGATAACTGAATAGGCCTTCAATTTCATTGCATTACACGTGCTATGTGGAATAAAAAAAAAAGAACGCGCCTTTCTCTCTCTCTCTCATATATATATATATATATATATATATATATATATATATATATATATATATATATATATATATATATATATATATATATATATATATATATATATATATATATATATATATATATATATACACACACACGATGAACAACACGCTGCAGAAACAGAAACATCGCATGTGTGTGCACTTTACTGCGTGTTAGTTTGCAGACTTGGGTTTTTTACTCCGTTCTATCTTCTTCAACTTCGTCTTTTTTCGCACACGGGAGGCAAGCAAAGACAATTTTAGAGAAGTGCATAATTTGTATAGCCTAAATTGAAGAACCGCCATCACGTTAAAAGGGTATTGCGACACTGTTTCGTGCACGGCCAAAAACGCTGCCCTTTGATAGACGAGGCTCTTGGGAACACGCCACCCAAACATTAGAGCGCAGCGCGCGCCTGAAACATGCAATTAGCTGTCAAAGTCGTCCAGAGACTGTTCGCCCATCTTGCCGCAAATGATGTCTTATATCCAATTGTTCTCGCCATAATACCCCGATTCGTGGCGATCGGCTGCTTGGAGCATGGTGAAAAGCGTATAGTTTGCGGAGCGGCCGGGAGATGCCGCGGCGTGCCCGCGCTTTCTAGAGTCACTGTATATGATACCTCTACTGTATATGCTACCTAAAGGTAGCATATACAGTAACTCTAGCGCTCGCGATCAGACTGAAGCACACCGTATTCTGAAGGTAAACCGTGCGTTTGAAGAAAAAAAAAGTGCTCACGGTCGTGACGCATGCGCGACGTGACTACTTTTCTACCACGTGCCATTCTTTTCTGCTTTGCGTCCAGTGCGCTCACTGGGAGAGAAGAGAAAAAACTTTTACAGCGTGCCACAGATCTCGTTACCTCCGCTCGTACTTCAGAAACTTTGTTTTATTTATTATTTTATGGTGGTTGATTCAAAAGACAACAAATTTCTTTATTGAAGTCATTCGATGGCCACTTGAAAAAGTGTTGCGGGGACCCTTTAGGCTACGTTTATCACCTGTAATATAATGAATTGGCCATAGTGAAAAATGAATTTTGTATTGCTGAACACCTTTTTTCAACGAAGACTTCATTCTGCCTATAAATGGAAGAATTCCCGTTCTAGAAAGCGCTTGGCTTGAGCTACCCCTTTGTCCTTACCATGAATATTACGCTGATTGTTACGCTAGTTGGATAAAAAATTGAAGACTGCTGGGTTGAGGAGCTCATTTTGTGGCTCTATTGGGCAGGTCTGTTTGGAGCAACAAGAAGAAGTCACTCTCCGCGGGATACTGATAGTTACGTGCAAGGAATAATCATGCACAGGTTGATTTGTTGGTAGGTTGGTTGGACCCGAGAGGCCAATATTTGCGCAGTTCTCCCTCTATCTCCCTCTTCTCTGCTCCCTCGTACTCCAAAAAAATGTATTGTGAGAAGCCTCAGACTACCCTACATAATTAATTATGAAGCATCAGAACAGTTTTCAATGAAAGCGTCTTATATTGTTTCTAATGTACGCCGACGTCGTGATGTATAGAACAGGGTCACGCAGAAGCCTACAATTCGCGATATTTGTCACTCAATTCAGTTCGGTTCACGCAATGCTTGATTGAGATACCTCGGTGCATGGTGTAAGAGTTTATATCTTACACCGTGGCCCGGTGAAAAGATTTTCGACATGCACACTTACTTAGAGCAATGATATAGACGTCACGAAACTTTAAAAAAGAAATACAGAAAAATAAAGTCACATTTACGCTTCTATTCCACGTACGCGAAAATTCTTGTCTTCCGTACTTTCCAAGTGGCTCTTTTTTATTTATGGGTGCTCGTGAGGGCACTGAACCGTCCTGATTTTTGCATAATGAAATGGAAAAAAACAGCGTAAAAGCGGCACGTAGTAAATACGCTGTGTCTTCTTTACTACGTCCCGTTGTTGCTCTCTTTGTTCTGCTTCACTAATGTTTGGGTTTGGCGTAAACTTCCTTTCTCACTATGACGTCCAGGCAAAGGCCTTCGACGCCTCACCAAGCAATCGGCGTCAATAGGCGGCGTTGGCGGCGTCAATAACCTCTAGCGTGAACGTCAACACGAGCGACGCGAAAAAGAACAGTAACGCAATCTCGTCTCTGATTGTCAGAATTTCTGATGCCATCGCGATGTAATTGTGACGTCATATGTTGACATCATCGCTTGGTCAAACGATTGGCTGATTACAGAAATCCGCCAATGCTTCCTACGGTCCTTGGGTCAGTGCGAAAGTACGTTAGGTGTACAAAGCTTCGGGAGAGAGGCGGCTGCGAATCAGTACGTCGACGAAGAAGAAAAAGAAGACGACATTCCTCTTTCAGTTGTCTTAGGTGGATGAATAAGGAACCCTGGGAGCTTTAAAAGCGGAAGTGTTTAAGCTTAAGAGAGCCATGTTTGTCACGAACAGAAGAAATTGTCATTATCATAAACCGGCACGTGATCTTTTCTTCCTCTTCGTCCTCCTCACCTGCCTCGTGGTAACATGTGCGCCGATTTTTCTGACGCGGAATGTGGTAACTCTCAATCAGCGAGAGAAGAAGCACAAAGAAAGAGAGAACGAGATGGAAAGAATGAGAAAGAGGGGAAATTCCTGGAGAAATAACTGCTTGTCGAGACGAGATTGGAACCTGCATAGCTACGATAAAGCAAGCGTCCTAACGGCTTGGCTATGCAGGAGCGACAACAGAGCATATATTGTATCGTTGTTAGTATGTAGCATACCAATAGGGTGGGAAAGGTAAATGAGGCTAACAATAAGAGATGAGTGGAAAAATAAAAAGAGAAGGGGCTAGGGTAAAGCACAGTACCCCTAGCAAAAAATCGAAATAAAAAAAAACAGTAACAGAGAAAGAAAGACCAGGAGAAAGAAACAAAAAGCGAGAATAGAGGGACACAGAAAGGAGAAAAGAGAAATGAACATAGGAGTAAGTAATAGTAAGAATGGTATGAATGTTATTAAAAATAAACAAAGAAGGTAGAAAAGTGGAGAGATAAAGAAAGAAAGACGATGAAAATATGACAAAAAGAAAAATTCTCGTAAAAATATTCTTGAGTTGGTGGAGTTCGAACTTGCGAATATACTCCGTTATATATACGAAGACGAGCATCGCGATTACTCTGCTATTTATGCATGCTAGCAGAGCATAGTATAGCCTTGTGGTCGATCGAAAAATAAATGAGACATGTGAGAGGGAGGAGAAGAGAAAGGATGAGGTAAGGGAACAAAACATAGCTCTTTGTAGTGAAGCAAATGGATGACAAAGAGAAAGAAGCGAGGGTGAAACATGAAGGGGCAATGCAAGATGTAAGAAAGTAAAAGTAACATAGCCTTCTATATTGTAATATAGTGAACGAATCCGACAGAGAAGTGATGGCGGGGAGGAGGGAATGGACAGGAGATGGTGGAGTAAGCCGTAACCATGTATAGTATGGTGCAGTACAGGATGGCAAGGGTTCGGAAAGAAAAGTTGGAGCGAGGAAGACAGAAGCACCCCAGCTTCTCTGTTTCCTTCGTCTCAGCACAACTAGCGCGCTCCAAGTTTTTAGCGAAAAGCAATATGAACATTTCTATCTATCTATCTATCTATCTATCTATCTATCTATCTATCTATCTATCTATATCTATCTATCTATCTATCTATCTATCTATCTATCTATCTATCTATCTATCTATCTATCTATCTATCTATCTATCTATCTATCTATCTATCTATCTATCTATCTATCTATCTATCTATCTATCTATCTATCTATCTATCTATCTATCTATCTATCTATCTATCTATCTATCTACCTACGCCTCAGGGCACGCATTGTAGTCCATTAATTTGGTATGTAGCAAAATTGACATAGTAGGACATGAGTGCACGACGAACATGATTCACAGATTTACGACGATAACGAGTTCCGCCACATCCCTGTCACCTACGTCATGAAACCCTTGCAAGCAGTTACATGTGA